AAAAAAAAAAAAAAAAAAAAAAAAAAAAAAAAAAAAAAAAAAAAAAAAAAAAAAAAAGGATTAATTGATAAACAACTTGGTTTTATATTTTTGATTTTATATTTTAAACTTAAAATTATGTGGGGGAAAAACATTACAAAGTGTTCTTTTTTAATTAATAAAAGGCATTTACTTTAAAAAAAAAGGGTAAAGTTTTAAATCACTTAAAAACTTATAAGTATACTCCCTCCTAAATAAAAGATGTGAATATCTCTGGGGCCAAATCTCATGCAAATTTTAACTATATAACTAGGCAACATAAAATCTTACTAAAATGAAAGAATGGAATTAAAAATTAAAGTTAAAAAATTTTCAAAAACTAAATAAATCTGGAATGAACTTTTCATTAAAACAAGTGGTTAAAAAAACAACCTTTTCATGAAAAAAGGAATTTTGGTGTTCTTAAGGGATGGTGGCTTATTTTTACAAAAAGGACAAGGAGGGCACATTTATAGAGATCAAAGGGCAGGCGGGATGAGCCATACTTTTAAAAATGCATAGGAAAAACACTGATAATACAAGGTCTTTTTAAAAGCAACTGGCATAATAAAACAAACATTCATTAAAATATAATTATATTACACCAAACTTTTTCAAAATTCTCCTCTGGTGCTATACACTTCTCCCATGGTTATATTGAAATAGAAAAGACTTTAGAATTAGTTAATATATATTTTTTACATGTAAACATATACAGTAATCTATATATGTATTGTTAGTTACATATAAATACAGAGTTCTTCCTAGGAATAAAAAGGGCAGGGTACTTCTTCTTAGAAAAGAGCACTTTGAATTTTAAAAGGGCAATCACTTAGCACCATAAAAATTTATCAAATTTTATAATATTATGTAATAACTGAATTGTTCAACACTTTTTAAACGACCCTCTTATGTGCATATTTCAAAAAATAATTATCTCTCATTATCAAAATTAGAGAAAATTCGTTGTTTATAAAAATAATTAAAAGCATGTTAAATGACAATCTTTGTGCACGTATTTTTTCAAAAAAAAAGTACACTAAATAAATGATTAATTTATAAACAACCTAAAAGCTTTTTCCATATTTTAAACTGAAAATTATAAGAAAATAAACATTCAAATGTGCATTATTTTTTAAAAAAAGGTATTTATTTAAACAATAATTTTAAAATCACTTAAAAATTTATTAATATACCAAGCTTTGAAAAGAGATGCTTACATAAATTCAACCAGTTGAAAATAGTTTTAACAAAATAAATATTTGTAATAATAATCAGAATCAAACCTGTAAACAAAGATAATTTTACCAGTGTGTAATTATTATTTAAATAACGAAACAATTCTCGCCAAAATGGAATATGAATAAAAACGTAGAGCTTCTTAAGGGATGGCAGCTCATTTTTACAAAAAGGGCACATTTATAGGTATCAAGGGAGACCTGTCCTTCTAAAATACTTAGTGAGAACACTCATGTATAAATATATATATATTGGCTAGTGCTCAAGAAGAAAATTTTTTTTAAATGGAAATTATGTTCTTCTTCAACACTGACCCATTTCAACTAAAAAATTATTAATTGCTCATTCTATGAGTCACAATCCTAGTCTAATGAGTTAATGAGTCACAATCCAAAATCCTAACATTTTCTTTTTTAAGCTTTAATAAACGATAGGCTTTTCATCCTACTCTACTAATCAATGAATTTACTAGACAGTATTTAAATTAAATATACACTCAGACTCATAAGAAAAAGTGTAGATTGCAACTAACCAATAATAAAATAAAAACATTTTTGATTCACATAATTTATATAGTCAGTAAAAAAAAAAAAAAAAAAATCTTTTATAATAGTGTGCGTAACAGTGAACAGAAACAATTTTTAACGCAACATTTTCAGGGTATAAATTAGTAGTCTTCTAAAACTTGTTTTTTTTTTTTGCAAATTTTTTTGTTCCTCCAAATGCATTTCAATCAAAGATGGAAACAATGATGTAGGTAATATTTAGAATTACTCTAATGCAATAAATAAAGCTTCAGTTATAAATAAAGAATTTTTAATAGTAAAAGGCTTGGTTATATTTTGCTAGCATATGTTCCAAGGAACATGTTTTCTTATAGTCACAATTTTGGGTGTATTTGATGTGCTACAGCATAAAGGTAGGATAACTGGAAACAATAATCATCATGCATATTTGTAATTCACACTTACAATTATCCTACTAATTGTTATACATAATTGTTAAGAATGGATACTCAACTCTTAAATAGGATACGTCCATTTTAAAATTGTTTATAAAAATAATTTTAGCTTTATACAGAGTTTTCAAAAGTAATACTAAAAACAGTTATTTTTTTCAAAAAAGACTTGAAAAACTTATTTTCTGGTATTATAAAGATAATTTTTTAGGTATAAGTTACTAATATAATTACTATAATTGTTTCGATCATTTCGTTCAGTTTCCTTGGGCTGGTCCTAGTGGCAACTAAGAAATAGACATAGCATCAGTGGCACTAGCATCTGGACAAATTGACAACCCTGATTTGAATGTTTTACTATGCCTTTAAGCTTAAAGTTAATCTTTTTTTGCTATTTACATTTAAATTGATTTAGTTTAATATCCATTGATGAGGCTTGTTTCAATTCTCGATTAAAAATAATATCATATATATTTAAGAAAAATAAATATTAAAAATCCACATAAAATTGTACACTATTTAAATATAACAAAGTAAGAGGAAATATCACATACCACTCATTCCATCAATGATAATGCATCTATTTCAAATAAACTTTATACTGTACAGAAGTTTTATCAACCATTTAATCAACAAACATCAAAGGTTTCAGGTAAAGATATGTATCCACTGAAATCAAAACAAACTTAATTCCAAAATTGTTAGGATTATATAGAAATATTAGTAAACTTCATTTTAGGGACCAGTAAAAAAATTGCCAAACTATTACTGATTCAAGTATGCTCAACTGTTTACATGTATAGAGATAATTTATGTGGCCCTTAAAATATAAAAAGTATTTTAAAAAATAAGAGTGTGCATTCAAAAACTATATAATAATGAGTTAGTGAGAAAAAAAAAGTTTTCATGATTCCAAGTGAATTTGAGGCTTTCTTCATTTAAAAGCAGAACAATAATTCAAAATATGATTTTATTGTAATTAAAATAGAAATTAAATTTACAAAATTAAGTATCTTTGCAAGCATGCACTAACTCTCAATACTAGATGAACACATTTTAAAACTTTTATTCAATAAAATTATGACGACTAAATATGACCATAAACCATAATTTTCAGCAGTGGTTTAGACAATGCATTTGTGTGATCATATCTTATAGAAAATATTACAATAGTTTTCTTAAAAATTTAGAAGATTAATTATGCAATAAAAATTATTAACTTCATTTTTTTTTTAAAAAAAATACATCATAAACTGCATAAAAATTATTTACAACTCAGAGGAATTTTGTTCAAAGATTTGGATAAGCGAGAACGTTCAATCACTTAAGTAAAATTATAATCTACCTAGGTAAGTTATAAAGAGCTTCTTGGAAACTAAACTACAACATACATAACAAAGCAAATAAATGTTTTCAGTGCTTAATACTGAAACATAAAGTCGAACTTCAATCGCCCATTCAGTGTGCGTTAAAGGATATTAAATGAAAAATAAGGAAAAAATTGAATATAATAATATCAAATAACATACAACTCAAAATTTTAAAACAATAGTTTGAAAAATTATTCAAATTAGAAAGGTAAAACAATTTGTTTTTAATATTTACCATAAATAAATTAATGTTTCATTTTGACACGTTTAAGCCATGGCGAACGATATATTGACTGGTCGAACAAGTATTATTGCTGAAAAGGAAAATGTTATCTAAAGCCCAGAGGAATACATAAGCGATGTTTTACGAAAGTTATATTATTGATAAAACTAAATAATTCAGTTGAGTTTAGTATTATACTTATGTTTATTAATTTTTGCAACATTCAGCATCAGCATCTATCCCAGAATTATTTTTATTTATTTGCTTTTACAGGTCGTTGCTGCCATTCCGAAGTTAAGAAATACTTGCTAAAAAACTGATATCGATTGCTTCCGTCTGGCAATTTCATGTGCGTAACAATTAATCGATAAGTTGCACAATACGATGTAAAAATTGATTGCGCAATGTTACGAAAATCTTGAGATTTATCATCATATTTAAGTGGTCTCACCTCTCCTTTTTTTACCGATTATTTTGCTTCGTGAAACGCAAAGTTTATTTTCTTATATTAACTACTTTTGAGTCAAACTCTAGTAAGCTATTTGTTTTATTTTTTTTTCTATGTAAACTTTCTTATATATCTTTATTTCTTATATATCTTATTTTTATTATAAACTTAAATTATTTTTGTTCAAAATGTTTGTTAATAGCGTAGTGTGTTTAATTAATAGTGTATGGTGGTACAGATGATACAATTAATATATTAATAATATGGAAATATTGTGATCATAACTGATATAAAATAATCGAAGATTTTGTTCAATTTATTATTATAATTTGCAGCTACTTAAAATCTGTTTAAATTCATGTTTCTTAAGTTTTATAGTTTAACTTAAGTTGAAATGAAAATCTTCTTGGATATGATTTGGCTGCATCATGTAAAAAATTAAAAATAGTGGTCATGATGCACATTTACATTGCTTTGAACATTACTTTCATTGTCTTCCAAATATGTGAATTTTAAAACATTACTATCTTTTTTTAAAAATAAACTGAATTAAAATAAAATCAAGGTTGTATATAATATTTTTCAATAAAATAATATTTTAATAGGTTTTAAATTAAATTTTGGAAAAATTCATAAACTCCTAAAATTTTTATAAAGCAATAATCATGTGATACTAATTCAGCAGTCAAAAAGATTTTAATCATTCATAAATGTTTTTGTAAAATTTTCTAAAGTGCAGCGTTTTGAAAAAAATTCATATTATGTCTTATACCTTAATAACGCCTTTATATTTTATTCTATCAACTATCTTAATTCGACAAGTTAATAATTTAATTATCTTAAGACTTAAGAATTTGAATAGATGTCAGTAGATGGCGCCACTACAGAAATTTAATAAATCTGTACTTTTTATTCATTTTTATTTGCTGTTTCTTAAAAGAAAGTGCCATTAGAGTAACGACATCCTACTTTTGTTTACTTTTTAAATTTATTACAATAAATTTCTTTTCATTTGCTTTTTGTATACAAGGAACGCTAAGGCAGCTAAAATAACTAATGAATTTCTTTTTTTTGTGATCTATGTATAAATAAAAATTTCATTTTAAAACAAAATTTAAAAAAATTTTATTTTTAATTGCAAAACTGTTGATAGAAAATTAATTTAAACTTCCTATTTCTCTGTCATCTAAATCTGTCTTTGATAATTTTCTTACAGCATAATCTGCAGAATTCATTAATTTTTTAAATTTTTATTTGGTATATCTTTCTGTAAGCAATCTATCTATCTTTATGATAGATATAAATGATATCTAGATATATATGATAGATCTCTCTCTATATATAGATATAGATATCAATAATGCAATTTTTGTGCTCTTTTTAATGATTAAAAGGAATTTAATATGCTAAGCAACACATTATTTGTAATAGTACAAATTAAAGAAAAAAATCACATTTAGAAGATGTATATAATTTGTTTGAAAGATTGGATTCTGCAATTACAAGTTTACCCTTTTGATCCCACTTGAGGGTGTCTATGTATGTAGGTTATACTTATGGTATATAAGTTATTTACATAAATAACTTATATACCATAAACAAATTGAAAATGCAGGCAATTACTAGAAACATGTGCAAGTCTCCTATGGCAGTCAAAGAGATTTCAATATTTTCAATCCCGCCTTCCACAATAGTGATTCGTTAGATATTACTTATTGTTATTGTTTCTCTCCTGCTTAAATATATTTTGCGATGCTTTTATTTGCATCGTCTTAATTCAGTTTTGGACTTTGATTCTAAAAATCTGCATTAAGGATGATGATTATAGAATACCTTGTATAATTTCAAAGAGAATTCAAATCAGCAGCTTTTCTGCTAACATAGTCCCAAGAATTTCCGTCAGGATTTTGGTCTGGAGATTTGTATGGGCATCAATCTCTCCGGCAAATAATTTCACGTTCTGGAAAATTGTCGGCATAATAGTCTATGATACAGCGCAATTTCATCCATTAAATTAAAATTCGAACCAACTGAATCTATAAGAGAAAAAACACTGGACTAAAAGTACATAGCTCTAGACTCAAGCAAGCAATAGTGATGAAACCCTTCAAGAAGTATTGCCCGACTATCAAACTTTGGCTCTCATAATGGCTGATTTATTTTGACATATAAAGGCAGGTAGAGTGTTCCAGGTTGATTATTTTTACATAGAGAGAACTAGGGATCCATTATAGAAATATGTTCTTTAAGCCTAGAGGTTACTTTTATTTAGTGTAGGGGGTATCCTTTTTCCTGATTTCAATTTAATGGACAGCACTCTGCCATTATACAGAGGATTTGCTAGAATGTGAAAATATTCAGGAAGGAAATTAACCAATCAAATATCCGAATCTGGATCCAATAGAGTATGTTTGAGACAACGAAGTGCTATTTTGAGTCTTTTCCGAAGTCATTGCATGAACTTGAACAATGGGTTACTTCATGCCTGGACTTGGCGATTTAATGTTCCTCCTTCCCGACAGCTAAACTGGGAGTATGGAAAAGTCTATGCTACCTATGCATTGCATATAGGAGTACAACGCATTGGTGGCATGGACAGTGGTTTAGCATTCAATGCAGTGTTCTGGTAAAAAGTTTAGTGCATATTTCTCTAAAAATTTCCTGTTTCTATATTTATTTGTTTTAAGATTGTACCTTAACATTTGGAGACAGTGTTTGAAACTATCCTTACAAAAACGATGACGATAAGATTCGTTTTTTTTCCCCTCAAAAAATTATCAAAAACTGATGTTGTATAAGTATTGCTGATTCTTCAAACCTTTTTAGCGTTTATTGAAATTGCTTCAAATAAGAGGCAAACCTTTATTCACAGTCTTTTAATCACATACTAAAAAATTATATTAATTATGACGTTTACTTACTTGAGCCGCATGAATTTCTACTTTTTATATAATTTGTATGTTTTTATATAAATTATAAACCAACTTCCGAATTCTGGAAATTAAGAGCCGTTATTCGTGACGCTGAAAGTTTTAAGAATCGGTACGTGTTGCTAATGTGACAAAGTTTTTACTTTATAGAAACACACTGGGTATTAAAAAATATTATTACTATAATGGAAAGAGTAAGAAAATTGGTGAAATTTTCTTAAGATCTGCAAGAATAATGGGAATTTTATGCCAGCTAAATATGTTTTACTCAAAACGGATTACTATAGGAATATATTTTACTCAAGACCGATTGCGGATATCAGATGCCACCATCAACAACTTCGATCGAAATTGCAATAGTCTTTGGCTGAAATGTGCGTATGCGCCAGCGTTGTCTTCGGATTACACTGGAGAATAAGTTTTTTATTGCATTAATACTAACACTTCGTTAACTAATTTATAATAAACATTAATTGTCTGGGTATTTCAAATAGGAAATTAGTTTTGCTCTTATAGCTACAAAATATTTTAATGACATTTTTAGTCTATTTTTTGTCGAAATGTGCAAGTTTAAAAATTTTATATATAGCAGGGAATCGGGTAAATGTTGCGGTAATAGCAGGGAATCGGGTAAATCTAGTTACGATTGAAATTCCAGAGAAACCATGCCCGGAAATGTTGTCGTAAGCGGCTGTGAGCCCTTCCCTATGTTTACCTGTTCAAAAGCGCACTAAAATACAGCTTTTAATAAGCAAGCGTCCCTAGCTGTGTATGACGATATTTTTGGGACAAGGATTCCTATGCAATTTTAATCCTAAAGATGGCTCTAACTCCCCTAGATGTTTGTCGCCACATTTACTTGACACCTTGTTACACATAACGTTTTTTATACTTGTACATTTCGAAAAAGAAAGTAAATAGAAATGTCATTTAAAAACCCGAAGTTTGGAGAGTAATAATTAAAGAGAAACCGAGATTAGAGAAAAAACCGTAACTTGGACCGATTGCAGATTTGAAATAAGTGATCCGAAAGTATCAAAGATATGTTAAAAAAACAGATCGTCGCTAGCATTCAAATTGTTTTACTCTATTTCGTCGTTAACAGTCAAACTAATTCTTGAGTTTGGCCCCCTTAATGTCAATAATTAGAACTTTATTAATTTTTTTAAAAATAATTTTAAGTCATTTCTTTCTGACATAATCACTATTGTTTTCAAGTTTATAGACAGTTTCAAATTAGGGTCTTTTAATTATGTACCAAGTGTATGTGACACCACATGCTCTGATACCATTTCAACAATAGTTTTTGAAATGGAACAATACCATTTTCAAAAATTTCGGCTGTCTCATTTCGACGTGTAATATGAAAGAATATTTTTAATAACTTTTATATAAAATCTCTTATTTATAAATATGCTTTTTAGTTCATTTATAAAATTATCTCGAACTAGATATCTGTTTTGTTACTGATACTGTTGGAAAGTATTGAGATAAGTATTCGCGATCGCAACACTCGAATACGCCATCTGGGGAGAGACCGATTTCATGCCTTTAGCCCTTCTCCCTTCCCTCTCCTCCTCTTTTCAGTTNTATTTATAAATATGCTTTTTAGTTCATTTATGAAACTATTTCGAACTAGATATCTGTTTTGTCACTAAAACTGTTGAAAAGTATTGAGATAAGTATTATACCATGAACAAATTCACCGGCTAACTTTAGTTAGCAATGGTATGATTGCAGGGGAAATGCAAAGTATTGATATTTATCTTTTTCCTTTTCAGATGGCGGGAAACAAAACTAAGAAATCTCCCAAACCTGAAGATGTTGAAGCACCGGCAAAAAAACCTTCAATGAAAACAGCAAGCGATGTCATTTCAAGACTGTTGTGGGATGAATCATTACCCAAAGAGAAGTTTTTCGTGGGTTATTTAGACAGATTCGATGGCATCATAGAGAAACCATTCACTTCCCTCGATTGGAGGGATCCTGCAACTGTCGACAACTACACACTAGCATTGCCCAAGCATAGAATCCAATACTTTAAATACTTGAGCAGAAAAGTGTGGGACAAAGCTACACGAAAAGACATAGTATTTGGTTCTACGGGTTATCCACACACTATTCTCGAATTCATGGCCATGGTTGACCAGGATATATTGGAATTTCAAGAAGAAGATATGGATGATGGTATAGAGCCTATAAGAAGTGGAGTTATTCCAGAAGCTTCTATTGATAGTGACAGTGATGAGGAATACGATATGTCAGAGCGATCCAATTTCTTCATTGCTGCTAGAATTACTGATGAAAAGATAGTTAATCATTTAAAACAAGTGTCCGATTATATTATGTCCAAAGATGAGCTTTTAGCTCCTTGTTGCATGGCACCTGACATGTTTCATTTAACTTTAACCATTCTTAAACTTGATTCTCCCGGTGACGTTAGCAACGCTGTAGAAGCTTTGAAAGCCCTTTCGCAAATACCGTTACCTCAAGCCCAAATCGAACTCGACGGGTTAGATAATTTCAATTTAAGAGTTCTGTATTCGAGAGTTGAGAAAAACGATGAACTTACGACTCTCAGAAACAAATTAGTTGATGAACTAGTGTCTAGGAACTGTAACATTACAGATAAATTTAAATTTGTACCACACGTAACGCTTGCAAAGCTTTCCCGTGCTATTTGTAGAATGCGGCATAGTAATTTCATAGATCAGTATCTGTATCTAAAATTTGAAGATGATTATTTTGGTAAACAGGCTATTGATAAACTGTATTTATGTGAAATGGGAGCAGCGCGGAGAGAAGACGGTTTTTATAAATGTGCTTGTGAAGTATCTTTAAATACTTTATAATAAATTTATAACCTAAACATATTTGTATATTGTGTTGTTTATTAAAATGTAAGTATTTTTTAATTTATAAAAAAGATTTCCAGTTTGATTGGTTTCTCATCTTATTGTTTCTTTTCATCACATTTATTTTTTGCTAAACGTAATGTTTCAATCGTTGAACGTGATTAAAAATTTTAAAAAAAATTTCAGCTGGAAAAACCAGTTCAGAAGTTTTTATTTATCAATTTATTTTTCAGTTTACAGCAAAAAATGTCTCCTTATTTTGTCGTTTTTAAATGATGGCTGCAATATACGTTATGCATTGCATGCTTAGAAAAATCAGTAAGGTTCACATTTGTTGTGGCTATAAAAAGGTGTTAAGTTCAACTATATTTTCTTATAATCACGTGTTTAAAAAAAATAGATAATTTGATTGAATATACTTTAACTTGGCACCTTAAAAAGGTTACAGAAAATTTTACCGATAGCTGGCTTTAATATTTTTAAGAGTGTAGTTTGAAAAACTATCTTATGATAAAACCAACTCCAGTTATATTTTTAATCGTGATAAACATGTACAGGAAAAGATATTACTCTGGATAACTATTGTTTTATTGATTGGATTTTCACGTACTATCTGTCAATCTTAAGAGGGGGTTATTTTACGGGAGGAACGAAATTCTCTTTCACATTCATAAATAATTAAAAATATCGAAAAAGTGAGTTCTGTCAAAAATAGTGTAAGCTATGGATTTTCAAATACTGAAAAGAAATTTTCAAGATATCAACATGAAAGCAAATTATAAGAAAAGAACTTCTGCGCAGACTTTTTTTCTGCAATTGAAGCTTCATGGCTGACTTTAGATTTTCCTGAACTCCTTTTTTTTATACTTTAAATTTTTATTTAGTTATGGAGGTGAAGCAAAATTCTGGATACAGCGTCCTCCTAAGAGATACGAAATATTAAGTTCAGATATGCTAATTAACTACTGTTAAATGTTAAGTTACGTAATTAAATGCACAAAACATACTTCCTACGAATAAATATAGATTTTTTAGGACAGATAAAGTTTCTTGTCTATCAAATTAAGGGGCAAAGCCGTGATCAGGAAAATGAGATTTCAGTATTTCTACTCAGAAGAGCGTTCAAAGGTTTTGAGTATGTTATTTTAACTTTTCCCATATTCCGCCATATCTGGTGGAAAAGAAACTTTTTTCAAATTATATATAAATATATTAGGGGGACCGGAAAGTAATGTCGTTTCGGTGCAGTAAATATGCGTTAGTCTTAAACACCAATTTATTGTTTTCGATCCGGCATTGAAAGGTTGTTGCTAAAGAGGGTGAAAAGATTATTGATTAAAAATAAAATCTTGATAACAAATATCAAATGCACCGAAACGACATTACTTTCCGGTCCTCCTAATATATATATAAATAATTTTCTACTTCTCAAACCTTTTTTTGAAATATAACTGCGAAATTATTCAACAATTTCATTCGAATTTAAGATTTTGTCATTTATGTCACGAATTATGTTCTTTAGAATGTTGTGGAAAATTGCATAAAATTTTAAAATAAAATCAAAGCCATTATTAAGGGAAACAATTAAAAGTAACATGAATTGCTAAAATTTAATTTTGCATGGTATTATCTTTGTATGAATGAGTTTTATAATTACGTACAAAAGGTTTTCGATTCACTCAAAAGAAAAAAATCGCGATATATTTTTTCTTTCAAGGCACTACAGCCCGTTGTAGGGCAAGACCGTCCCAAGTAGTTTTCGTCATTTAGTCCTCTTCAGAGCAAAGCACATGAAGATGTCTTTATTTATATTAAAATCTGCTGCCCAGTCATGGGATGTGATCTTTAACTACTGGTTTTGTATTTTCTGATCGGAATAGATATCCGAGCAATCATAGTCTATTAGATTTAATGACTTTAACTATATCAAGCTGCTTGTGCTTTAGGAAAAATTCAAAGTTAAGCAAGGATCTCCAGCCATCATTCGCATATACTGCACCAAAAAAAAATTTTTAGGATCATTCGTTCACAGGCTAATAATTTAAAATCAAATAATCTGATTATTTCTAGAAACAAGTGTGAAAACAGTTATTTGATGCAATCAGTAGTAGATAATCTCTCGCTCATTTTAAAATGTACTTACATTTTGGGCGTAATTGTTCAATTTGAGTAATAAGTAACCCATTGCTTCTACAAGACGCATTCAAATATAGTAAAAAGAGAAGTTAAGCATCCCTGAAACAGCCCGCTGCCTGACAGTAGGTCATGGAATTAAAGGTCAACGATTTCGTGACCAATGGTATGATTTGACAATGTGTTTATCATTGCGTACTATGTTGCCTTTATTTTCTAAAAAAGCTGGTACTCATGTAACAATTCATAACAACAAGTCATAACAATTTCAATAATTTGATTTGTTCTATTATTTTTCAATACGATGGAGTCAACATCGGATGAAACAGAATGCACGTAGTTGAACCTAAAATTAAAAAAGAAAAATACTAATATTTAAAATAAATAATATGCAATATGAATATAACCCATGAAATATGGCCTAACGTCGTCGTTTCGGTTCCGACAAATAAATGTTATCTGGAAAAATAAAAATAAATACTGAGCAAATTTCAATGCTCGATGAATTTAACAAAATCCTTAAATAATAATAATAATTATGTTGTCTATTTTAAAGCATTTTATTACCAAAGTTAATTAAACATCATTAGCATCAGTAATAATATGACGATTTTCCACGCTTTTCATAAATAAATTAGTAATCCATTAATTTAATTTTTAGTACGTGGTTTTTTTTAATTTTAATTAGTACCTATTACCAAAAATAACCAAACTTCATTTTCGTCAATAAATGTTTGGCGATTTCTCACGTTTCTCCTAAACAAATTAGTATTATTTCTCCATTAATTCTGCTTATTAGTACATAACTTATTTTTTTAGTCAAATTACAGTTGATTTTAGTTTACTTTCATTTATAGAAGCGCATTTTAAAAGTGTAGCTATAAACAAAATAAACACTTGGTTTCATATAAATTTAGAAATACTTATTTAGTGATGTTATTTAGTGATGCACCCGTGCTACATTGTTTGCGTTGATTATTGAGTTAACGACGACAAACGAATAAAAATTAATTTTATCTATTAAGGAACATGCTATTCCTTCGTTAATGAAAGTTATGAGCTAGAAAGCAACACGGTTGTTATCTTTAAAATATTTGAAAGGGAAAAAAAAAAAGAAAAACGGAATCGTTTGCAATTTAATTTTTATCAGAGGCGAGCTCTAAGCCAATGAGGAAAATGAATTCGTTTTTCGCTCAAACGGTTCATTTGTATGAATGTAAATAACTAACTATATAAATAAATTGTTGTATTGTGCTAAATTATAATGCCGATCATGTGTTATTAGTATTGAGAATTATAACTGAGGTAAGCTTTTTTGATCTGAATTCAATTGTTTTGTTTTAAGAAAACGAATGAATGGATTTTTACCAACTACTATTCCTAGGCCCTTGTGCAACTTTGCTATTAAGTGCTCCCTCTTTTCTTTCGGCTTTGTGGAATAGGAAAAGCAATGGCGGACATCTGGAACCCACGGAAGGGGCAAGGAAGAAGAGGGGGTGAAAGGCGGCTTATAGCATTTATAACTAAATAAACAAGATACTGTTACTGATTTTTTTCCCTTCGTGACATTGAATCAAATATAAGTAATCCCAAGTGGATAAGACTGATTGTTCAGCAGTTACTAAGATTTTATTTATTAAAAGTGCTGTTCTGTACGTTTACCTGTTTAAGCTAGAAGAAAATTACTATCTAGGCATGTGGGGAGTACAATGCAACTAAAAAAAAGGGTGTAAGACTTACAGTTTCAAAATAAGAAATGTTTTTATGCATTGAAAGTACTGTTTTGGATGCATCCTATTATTGTGTCTGAGATTGCTATTTAGACGAGTGATGTTTTTGATCTCACGGAATTTTGCGTTAAATTAATTGAGATCAAAACTAAGTAGATAAGAGCAGTAATTAAACAGTTCTGAGAGTTTTGAAGGCTTCGAGTGAATGAACTACAATTATTGACTTATACTTATGGAAATAATAATTTTGAATACTTTCCTCCCGAAACCTTTATAGTTTTAGAATTATTGGTTATTTACATAATTTTTATTGTATATTGGATTTAACGAGAAAAAATATGCAAGAAATAATGCCCCTATTCGTCTATTTTATTGAACAAATAGCTAAATATCCGTTTGTCATACGTGGTAAATTAAAAATAAAAATTCAAAAAAGAAAAAACAATAAATCAGCGTTGAACAACGTTACAAAATCATGTACTAAACTTAAAAGCATCTATCTACATAATTAATAAGGCTAAAGTAATCCCAATTATTTTGGGGTCGGGATTACGTGGTTGGCAGGGCGCTGGACTCAGGTTTGTGAGAACGGGAAATCGAATCTAGTTGGACGAAGACTCTCCGTGTAGTAAATGGTGACTGATGCACGTTAAACCTGTTGGGTCACAAAGTCCTCCATGTCCCCGTAACAAATCGGGGGGCTACTGAATTGGAGATTTATAGTTCTCTGGTTCAGGTCAAAATTACGATCTGTGTATGAATGAATGGATATATAAATGGGTTCGCCCTATAAACGAGTGTGGCAGAATTCGAATTCTTGTCATAGATGGCGCCACTGGAAAACAAGAGCAATCGCACCCCCTCTGTCTTAATGGCCGACGACGACAATCCCAATTATTTATTTATTGCTATTTGTTGCTCTTCTCATCAGAAAATCTTCTCTTCTTCTCATCTCATCAGAATTTACTGCATTTAGTATCACTTGGCATGATGTTATTAATCGTGGCTAACTCACGATAGTCAAAATTTCACTACTATCTAACAATTTTCTCTAGTACCTCTTTCGGGGGGCTGTAAAGAACCGCTGTAATAAAACTGCTCAGTATTGGGACGGTTTTAATACTGCCAAACATATCAAAATACTTTGCACCAATC